AACAGTTCCAGTCCAAGCGGCCCTTTTGAGGCACAGGAGGCCGTCCCTTCAGAAGGAATAAGTGACTTCAGGGAGGGGCCTCCCATAGGTGGCAGACTGTACCTCTTCATCCACAAATGGGAGGCCACCACTACAGATGCTTGGGTACTCAACACCATCAGGTGCAGTGTGACTATAGAATTTTTGTCCAGACCCCCAGAACGTTTTATTTCTTGCCCAGCTCCACGAAATCCAGCCAAGATGAGCCTCATGAACAAGGCCATACGCCACCCCTTAGAATAAGGGCCATCGAACCGGTGCCGGCTGGACAATTAAAAAAGGGTTTCTACTCCACCCTCTTCGTGGTACCAAAGGCCTCAGGAGGATGGCGAGCTATACTCGATCTGAAGGGACTAAATTCCCATCTAATCTACAAAAAATTCAAGATGCAGATGCTCCAATCTATTCTGGCCAGCATCAGAAGGGACGACTTCCTGATGTCCATCAACCTCACGGAAGCATACTTGCATGTCCCCATTCTTCCCGAACATCGGAGGTTCCTCAGGTTTTGCTACACAAACCATCACTATCAGTACAGGGCTCTACCGTTCGACCTTTCATCTGCTCCAAGAGTATTCACGAAGATCTTGGCAGCACTGGCTGCCCATCTCAGATTAGTTCCGATATGGATCCAGAGCTACCTGGACGATATCGGCAGCTTGGGCAACATAGGCATCCATTGGAGAGATCTGTAGGGCGGCGACTTGGTCTTCGCCTTCCCCATTTGTGAGGCACTACAAGAAAGACAGGTTTGCCTCCGCGGACGCCTCATTTGGCCGGAGGGTACTACAACAAGTACTGTCATCAAGTGGGACATAGGCCCTGACTGTTTCCCTCCCATAGGGATAGGGCAGCTTTGGTATGTCCCATTCGTGGATTCTCCATCCTCATGCTGGAGAAGGGGCGTTGTCTTACCTGAACGCCTTTTCTCAGCATGATGATGGAGAATCCACACCCACCCCTTCAGTGTCCGTCAGGTCCTGTGTCGGGTAGGAGGAGCCAACACATCGGACTATCATCTGTTGCTTCGCCTTCGTCGTAACTGAGTGGTACTAGCCCAGCAGGAGGCGTGGCAACTTTGTCAGACTTAGTCTATTGGGCAGGAAGATGAAGTAAACCCATTCGTGGATTCTTCATCATCATGCTGAGAAAAGGCGTTCAGGTAAGACAACGCCCCTTTAGGTTTTATCCAATGTAGCAGGACTTTCTTTTTGTAAATCCCCAACTTTCTTTCAAATGTACTTAATGTTTTATTTAATTTACATGCTGGTCATGCAATATTTGCACAGTGGAACTAAGAGAGCTAAACAAAATGATTTATGAAAATGATTTAAATTTTCTTGAAGTAGAATTCAGCATGCTATATTATTTTGTCTGCTTATAAAATCCATTTTGTTTGAAATAGACATTTTAAAAGGCCATGAAACATATAACCATTATTTGGGGAAATGCATATAAAAAACTGGTTTTCTGGGAAAAAAGCAAACAGAAGTAACAAGAAATTGAGAGTTGAAAGTAAAAAACTCAGGGGCAGAAAATCAATATTTGCATATATAATTTACTTGTATGTATACATGATCTACAACAATAAAATATAAACATTGAAGAAAATCATGAATAATTAAGGCACTTAAAAAGCATTTTAAAATAACAAATTGACAGGTTTTTAGCTAGGGATGAAAGTGGGAGAGGGCATTGGGCTATATAACCTGTTAAGAAATTTAAACTACTCATCTGCTGTACTAAAAGTAATTTATTTGAAATATATTATGTCATTCTTCAAGGATCTGGAATAAATATGGGCTTTCTTAATTCTATAAAGTATACTACACTTTCAGTTTTTAAAATATAATTGAAATGATGACAAATCCCATGCTTTCTTGGTTAATCTATATTTGCATGGAATAAATATGAACTTTCTTAATTCTGTAAAGTAAAGTAAACTTTCAGTTTTTAAAATATAATTGAAATGATGAAAAATCCTATGCTTTTTTCCATTAATCTACTGTATATTTCCATCCTTAGAATGACAAAACAAAGAACAACTTCCCCCTTCCCTCGAGGTAGTAGGTAAACATGAGGCAAGATCCATGGGAAATAGATGAGATAATAGTGTTCATAAAATTCAAAAGTAAAAAAAGATGGGATTTAGATACATCCATGCAGAGATTTTTAATAGTCTTGAGTGATGCTACAGATGTATAATGACCATTTGTTCTGAGTTGCCCTAGCTGAAAAAAGTGATATAGGACCTCAAAGTTCTGGCTGTCCCATCATACCTATGGTCACCTGATCATGATTTGGGCACTTAGCAACAGCTCACATTTAGAAACACCGCATCCATCTTGCAGTCATGTGATAACAATTTGCAACCTTCCCAGCCATCTTCCAACAACCAAAGTCAATGGGGGAAGCCATCACAAATTGTAATTACATGATGTCTCGCTTAATGACCATGATAACTCGCTTAAAGATTGTGGCAAAAAGGTAATACAATTTGGTGCAGTCGTGTGATGCCTCACTTAACATTCACCTTACTTAACAATGAATTTTCCTGTCCCAATTTTGGTCATAAGTCAAGGGCTACCTATATCTGCATAGCAAAGAGTTGAATTTCTGGGTGGTTATTACTAAAGGATAATCTAGCTACAGTAGTTCATGTTGTAGAAGCTTGCTTTATATTGCTGTAAGGCATACTAAATGAAGGTGCCCTTAAAGATGACTTGGGAATTGCACCTAAACAGAGTGGCAGCTCCTATTAGATACAGAGAATATAGGCCGTTCTTGACTTATGAACACAATTGAGCCCAAAATTTCTGTTGTTAAGTGAGTTTTGCCCCATTTTACGACCTTTCTTGCCACAGTTTTTAAGTGAATCCCTGCAGTTGTTAAGTTAGTAACATGGTTATTAAGTAAATCTGGTTTCCCTATTGATTTTGTTTGTCAGAAGGTCGCAAAAGGTGATCACGTGACCCCAGGATACGGCAACTGTCATAAATATCCAGGCGTCTGATTTTGATCACGTGACCATGGGGTTGCTGCAACAGCCATAAGTGTGAAAAATGGTCATAAGTCACTTTTTCAGAGCCATTGTAACTTCAAATGATCACTAAATAAACTATTGTAAGTTGAAGACTACCTGTAGAAATAATATAACATTGGTTTTGCATGAACTATATTGGCTTCCATTATTTCTGGACACACTACAAGATAAGGTAGGACTAATACTGGTGAGAAATCTTGTCACTGACACAAATTTTTATTCCTATCTTTTGTTCCCTGCTTAATTAGTAATTGTTTAATTGCTACATTGCCATGTTTTGTTTGCTCTTTCTGTTGGAAAAAGAGAGAAGAACCTGTATATATTCATGGATTTACAAGTGTGTTTAAATGTCATACATTTCTAATTTCTTATTTTTATGTTTTTGCCTGGTTGAGCATGTTCCTTTTTAAAAAAAAAAATCTATTTAAAAATTATTTAGCCATATGGAATTTAGTACCTCAAATCCAATAAATAATACGAATCCACAGCCCATGTTAGTCTATTTTTCCACTTTTGGTTTATTTTGGGAAGGGTTATGCTAAAAATTAAAAAAAAATTGGAGACTGTGTTAGTTGTTTAAAGTCCATCCCAAACCAAAAAGTGGAAATGACTCTTGATATGACTAAGTTCCACTGAAATCTGTGCAAGTTTTCAGAAATTCAGTTTATAAAGTACTTTTCCTTAATTGCAAAAAAATTTAAAGTTTTTGAGTCTTCAAATATAAGGACTGTAATATTTTTTTTAAAAAAAAATACATTTAGGATTTGAAATTAGAACTTTTGCTCTTGTAGTAACCTAAATTAGATTGTATCACTTAATTAGGTTATACCAATAAAATTGCATTATTCCCATTTGCAGCAGATCTACTACTGCATTTTGTGGGTTTTATTAAATAGAAAATAAATCACTTGCACCTGTTTAATTTGTGTCCTGTCTTTGCTTCTTCCTCTTGTCATTCCTTCTCTTCTTTTCTCTAGTCTAGCATAATAACAGTATGCCTGCAGTAATTCTATCTGGGTATGAAATACAGTGTGCTAATGACATTTTATGTTAGAAATATGAAGTCTAGTCAAACATGCTTAAATGACTTTCAAATAAAAATATGAATTCAGATAACTCGACAATCAGTATTTATAAGACATTGTCCATACATATGTAAAGGTTATAGGAGCGATTGGCTGTTTGTCCTTCCTACCTGCCTGAAATGAAAGAAAATTGATGGCTAGAAACTTAAATGGAATATCTGAAACAAATGTGCTTTAATGAAAAATGTAAAGACAGATAGAAGATAGAAACATAGAAAGATTTAATACAGATTATTGGACATAATATCATAGTTTGGATTCAGTATTAAAGAGCTGCCAACCATTTTAAGCTTATGCCTGCATTTATAGATGTTTATTGATTTTATGCTAGAATTTCAGAGGAGAAGAAATACAACATACATTTTCTTTTCTGTTTTACATGGCATGAGGTATTATTAGAAGGTCTCAGTATCTTACAGGAAAACTAGGAGGTGATATTTCTGCATAAAATCATATTCTTCCATCAAAAAGTAATAACATCCTTTATGGGAAAGAGATTTCACTAGATTGGCAAGTGACAAGTAATTTTTAGAGATAGGATTGTATTTCTTTGTTTCTTAAGAGAGAGATTATTATTACCTTTGCTGTGAATACCAGAAAACAATGAGTTTTGACATCCGAAAAAATTGCATTACTAAATTAAAAACAGTAAATAAAAGCAACTATTGTTCTGCCCAAAGGGAAAAAATGCAATGCATGCCAGACTTGAAATGCAAACATAATATTTATGTAGTAAAGATTACAATACTTTTTAAATATAGCTTTTGTTTTTAGTATTTAATTATTTTTCCAAGGTTATCCAGAATTTAATTCTTAAAAACCAATTCCTTGCAGGTGCCATACTAGGCAGATCAGAGACGCAGGAGTGCATCTTCTACAATGCTAATTGGGAAAATGATAAGACAAATCGTAGTGGCATTGAACTATGCTATGGTGACAAAGATAAAAGAAAACACTGCTTTGCAACATGGAAGAATATTTCTGGATCTATTGAAATTGTGAAAAAGGGTTGCTGGTTGGATGATATTAATTGTTATGACAGGCAAGCAAACATGACTTTTCATATTTCCTGTTTTGTAAAATGTAATCTGTTTCTAAAGTCTAGAAACTTCATGATGTGTATAAGCATAGACTATTACACAAGATTTATACAGACTTAAGATATCAAACAAATCCTTAAGGTAAGTGATAGAATGATCCTTCATTGTTTGGGGATACTGCCACATTATTTTTAGATATTTTTATTTTAATACCAGATTTGTTTGTTCATTCTTTTGTGTAGAAATTGGCTAGTTACTTTTATGTATATTTTGTGAGGCTTTGTTGATAAATAATAGCCAAAACTACATTGGAGGATAAGCAGGGTTTTTTTCCCCCATAATAAGTAAAGATAGGGTAAAGGTCCATTTTTCCAAACCTGCTTTTGATTTGGTAATCAAATTGGAACAGACTAGTGCTAAGCTATTCTGGTGTGGAGAAAACTCTTCAGATCCACCAATCTGACTGGTGAGACAGTCTCTGCATAACTGAGCTAATTGCATGAACTGCTGGTTGCAGCTAATGCAGTATTAAACTTAGGCTAAAATGCTGTTGGGATTCATAATTTAAATTGGGAGTGAGCTGAAACACCAGTCATTTTTCCCTGTCAATTTCCTGCAGGCCTTTTCTCAAAGCAAAAAGCAAGAAGCTCACGTTAGATGTGTAGAAGACTTGTACTGTTATTTTAAGAGATGCCTCAGATTAGATGATTAGCAACCACTTTATAGGAAGCAATAGGCAGTTTGATGTCTGGTATCATTCTTTTGATGCAACGTGTGTGATTTGTGCTGCTTTTTATGTAGTACCTTCTGTATTGTTCCCTTTCATTGTGGAAGCCAAATGAAAGTTTGATGTACTTTTGCACAAAATTACTCAGATATTCAGAATGCCAATCTTTTAAATTCTGTATTAATTTACTACTGGCAATTTTGCTGGGTGTTTTCTTTAATATAGTTGTAACATTTTAATATTTAACTGATTTTAATCTCTTACAGGACTGACTGTATAGAAAAGAAAGATAGCCCTGAAGTGTTTTTCTGCTGCTGTGAGGGCAACATGTGCAATGAACATTTTTTCTACTTTCCAGAGATGGAGGTCACACAACGTATGTGATATAACTTTTTCTAAAAAGAGTCCTGCAGAGACATTTGTTTAGCATTTAAAACCTCTATTAAATATTGAACATGCTTGTAGATAACATGTATTTTTCTATTATCCTCATTGGATGATAATAATTGTAAATGAGGAAACGTAGGAAGGATCCTTGACACAGCAGCCTTGGTTAAATACAATACTAAACAATACAGGTAGCCCTTGACTTACAATCACACTTGGTATCAGAATTTCCATTGAAGGTCGGTCTGATCGTAAATTAAGGCATCACGTAACTCCACCCAACTTCACAACTATTTTTACCACAGTTGTTAAGGGAATCACCAGTGCCATTAAACAAGTCCCATATTTGTTAAGCGAATCACACAATTGTTAAGTGAATCTGTCTTTTTCAATTGACTTTTGCTTGTTGGAAGCCAGAGGTCATGATCATATGACTACAAGACACTGCAACCATCATAAATGTGAGCTGGTTGTCAAGCACCCAAATAGCAATCATGTGACTGCAGAGGTGGTGTAGGGGTCTTCAAGGATGGGTGATAAGTCACTGTTTCCTGAGCTTGTCATAATTTTGAATCTGTCAGGCCCAAACCGAAAGGCCACACAGCGAAATCCAATCAAGTCCAATATATTATTTGTTTACACTGCCAAGTACAGAATCTTGCCAAACTAAAGCTATATATCTCTTCTCTAATAGATATATCCTGAGAGATTCTAAGGTGTGACTACTCTAAAGTTTTTACACCCCCACCTCCCGCCATGTAGTTCGAGAATTTGCAGTCTCTTAATTTGGACTTCTCTCCGGAATATACTGCCTCCTCACTGGGAAATCTCTGGGCCACCAAGATTCTTCTCTGTTGCTTCTCCAGATGCACATTCCATCACTGAACTGTCATTAAGTGAATGTTTGTAATATAAGGACTGTCTATAGTTGGATTAGATTGGGGAAAGCCTTGCTGAATTTTGACCTTATATATTTCCCTTTTATTCCAACAATAATCAGGATCAGTGGTCCCCAACCTTTGTGGCTTGGTGGCCTGGCTGGAGGGGGGAGAGAGAGGAATTGGGCCACGCAAGCAGTGAGCCAGCACATATGCGTGCGCATGCAGCCCTTGCGTGAGTGGCGGGCCAGTGCGCATGCTCCAGTCAGCCACTCATGTGGCCCAATTCCAAATAGGCCAAGGCCCGGGGGTTGGGGGACTCCTGATCTATATGGTTGCATCCAAGAAAGACTATTACTAAATTACAGTAACTACAGTTGTCAGGTGCAAAGAAGTGAGAATATTCACTGAGTTCGAAGCACTGATGAGATTATTATTGCTACATATACACAAGAATCTGGTCAACTAAAGGTCAAAGCTAAATTGGTGCTAGATAAGGGACAATGGAATTCCAGGGAGCTGGATTTGGGTCTCTTGTGGCTGCACAATGATTCCAAGCTGATGATATAGTTAACCCTGCCTTCTAGCTCATTGTGCTCCTCTCCTATAACAATAGGCAAAATACTATGATCTTAAATACAAATCTAAAATTTAAACGTTTAAGCTTCAGATGTATCATCATAGATAACTTTTAGTGCATAGATAACTCAGTTTTTAAGAATTGCTTATATTTTCTGTGTTAATATAGAATTATAAGAAAACTTTTCCCCCCTGCAGCTACTTCCAATCCTGTGACAACTAAACCACCTCTGTTTAGTACCTTGCTTTACTCTCTTGGACCTATAATGGGAATAGCAGTGATTGTACTCTTTTCATTTTGGATGTACAGACACCACAAATTAGCATATCCTCCAGTACTTGTACCAACCCAGGTAAGTGGATTATTTTGAATGGAAGTAGATTTGTTTCTTTGTCAGATTTATATCCCATCTTTTGTTAGCTTTCTCAAGTTAATATAGACTTGTTACTTTTGACGGTTGCTATTTGAACTTTTTAAGATTTTTGGAAAACTGTTGGCATATGATCTAAGAGTCTGTAGCTAGAGGAAGAAATTAGTTGAAATTAGTTTATTTATTTATTTATTTATTAAATTTATATACCGCCCTATCTCCCTTACGGGACTCAGGGCGGTGAACAGGCGATACTAAAAACCACGATAATAAATAAATAGTTTCTGTTCTAAAATCGAATTAAATAACAGGCCTGTTCTAAAAACACACCCATACAAAAACCCCCACTGAAACATAATCAAACTACGCCAGGCC